CTGATTCTTAACAGCTGCAAGCTGAGCGTCACCATGAGGGAATTACCTGGAGAATTTAAGTAAAGGCTTCGCCTTTCCGACCTTCCCGCCACTTTGTTAGACGCCTGGGTGCAAAAATACAGCGCAGGGGCGTATTTGTGGTCAGCTGTGGGATTCATTACTGTTTAAAGGCCGGTGGTGGGCTGTTAGCTGGTGCAGTGCCAGAGCGGGCGAAAGTTCGTTCTGCTACATTAATTGCCATCTACAGCATCCCTAAGAAAATACGAAAATGGTGATCAGCCACATGTGGTGCTAGTTTATGCTCTGAGAAGCAGCTTTCCGCTGGAGATGGAGTGTACATTGTGGTTTAGTGTAAGCTATCTGCTCCTCATCTTTTCATGTGCACTTTCTAATAATTATTTTTCTTAGCAGTGCAGCTTTGGATCGAGGTGCTGCGCACTTGATGGAGCCCATCGGTTCCACATTCAGCCTTTGCAACTAAAGAGATATGGTGATTTTATTTTTCTTTATTTCAAGTAAGCTCTAGGATCTTATCTTTTTTCTAACAGTGTTCTTCATGCAAAGCAGCTGACAGACGACCCTCAAAGAGACTAAAATGTGGAAAAAACAGTCTAGTAAATTCAGAACTAGAAGGACTTGCATCTGGAAGTGGAAACCTTGCTGCACTGGGGGAAACACCTAAGACATCTGATGGGGATCAACGCTCAGGAGATCCAGGAGACTGCAATATAATTCGACAGAAAAAAGGTGAAAGCATTCCAGAGACTAAAGAGAAACAGGAAAAGGAACATAATGTTTCTGTCAAGCCACGTGCAGTGAAATCAAACAGTGCTCCATCAAAAACGGACAGTGGTGAAAATCTGCATCATCATGTCTGCAGCGTAGAGGAGAGCAGCTGTGAGAGTGTACTTTCCAATGGGTCTAGCTTGGAGGATGCAGATCTCCCAAAGAAGCCAGTACAACTAGACACTAGTGCTTTCTTGGATGAAGACAGCAACCAGCCAATGCCAGTGTACCGGTTCTTTGGAGATGTTGAGTTTTTACAGGTAAGATGATGACAGTCTCTTCATACTTTACAGACTCAGCTCTGTTCCATTTAAGTCTTGCACCTTCAAACAAAATTAGGCTAGCCTCAAAATTGTAGGCAAACTTGACCAATATTGGTATACAACTGGAGTCATATCCCTGTCCCCTAGATCAAATTTTCTCAATTGGAGATGAAATTGATTGCCCAGCAAAATTAATTTCACATGTAAAATCTTTCTTATTTAGATTTTTTTACTCATAGAGACATACATAGCTGTATTGTGGAGACACAGCGTTACTGTCAAAATAGTTTTTCACTGGTCATTGGTTCTTAATAATGATTATTGTAATTCTTTGGAATGGAAACTGGTTTCTGGCCACCTCTGCCTTTGGGCTGGTCAAGGGCCAGAGCATTAAGTTTGAATCCCAGGTCTGCATTTAACATTGCATAACTGTGGGCAAGTGATGCTGCCTTCTTTTAGGCGTTTCATGAGGCTTAGTATTTAGCGGGAGCAGTGAGGATTTGTTTGTGGAGCACTGCACCCTGTCTGAATCCTTCTCAAGCCTGCAGAAGGAATGCCAGCCCTCACTTTTGACCATGAGCAGTGACTGGTTCACGCAAGCTCCTCTCAAACTCCTCTGCTTTAGCTATGGGCTTTTGCCACCGCTTCCAAGTGAAGAGGTGTGTGTTGGTGCCTTATGTATCAGATGTGGAAGTATGTGAGCTGTTGGAGAGGTAGGAGGTCTGCCATTTGCTGCAACAGACTTTCCTTAATGATTTTATCCTTTTCTTAAAAGGATCTCCCAGCAGTTGCACTCCCAAGCACAACGATGAGCAGGCGAGAATTCAGAAAGCTACATTTCATTGCAAAGGAAGATGAGGAGGAGGAAGAGGATGTTGTCTAACAACAAACTGTAAACAAACTAAACCTTTTTTCTTTTTCTTTGCAACCACATAACGATGGTTGGCTGTGTCACCAACATAAGGTGCCTGCGTTTGCCTTTTCTCAGAGAGAGAACTGGTAGAGTTTGTTTTTCTGGAATTGGCAGATACAGTATTCTCCCACAGTCATCTGGGGCAAAGACTGACTGAATTTTCAGGGATTTGGAAATAAATTGGAATTTATCATTTTACCACTAATATTTAGGAAAAAAACAGGGGGAATGAACCTCTTACTGCTTTTTTATAAATTTGATCCCCTATCTAGGGTGACCTCCTTTTTTAAAAATAGCCAAGAAAAACATGTTAGAACAAGGTCCTTTTTCTTTTAATTCTGCAATGTCTGCCATTGCAGCAGCCAGTTGACTACCCAGTACAAAGAGGGACACTGGCCTCTGTTGTGTTGCATTGTTTACATCTAAACCAGAACCACTGAAACCTCTAAAATGCAGTTCTGCTGGCAAAACTAAATGCGTGGATGTCAATGTGAGTTCAGTGGTGTTAATCTCTGGAAGTTAAACATGTTTTCATTGCATGTCAGTTCTCTGAACAACCACCACATGAAGCTGACTGCTTCCCTCTTCCACCAGACCAGCTGTAAGCATTGCCTTTTGTCATAGTTGTGTAATGCAGCTCATGCGGTATTTTGAATTGACTTCCAAGGGTTATGAATAGGAATTTTGTAAACAAATGCATTGGTGGTGATAAAGGAGGAATAAAATCTCCCCATGTTGGACTTGATTGGTAGATGAAGGAGTATTGATTGTTAAGGATATGGGTCAGTCCACCAAATTTGTTATTTTAGCCTGCATTTTTAGAAAATAATGAGCAACCTCAGATGACTTCAGGAACTGTTAGCTCACCCAATGTTTATAATACTTCTTTGAAAGTGTGATTATGCAATAAGCTTCCAGATCTTTATTGTTACAGTTTCTTCTACATTTCTAAAAATACAGAGCAAATGTTATCAGCAGATGGTTTAAATAAATACTAATTTCTACAGCTATAGTCTGTTAAACATTCAAAAGTTGTAAGCTGAACAAATTGTATATGCATGACATGTTAATTTATTCAGATTTCCACTCCAGCTGATGCATTGTTTCTGTCAATGATATTTCTTGGCTCCTTTTCACTCTAACTCTGTAACACAGAAAAACCTAGTTTTTTAATATATTCATAGCTTTCAGCACAACTCCATCTTAAAGTAGCTCTCCCAGCTTTCCTTAAATGGCTTATTGGCTACTGTCTCTTTCTAGCAAGTATGTCTTCACACACAAGACATTCACTTTAGTTTCAGCACTGTGCAAAATGGTGATTTTCAGTTTGTACCAAGTGTGCCATACAGATGACATTGGGTTTGTCATCCGAATCTTAGCTGTGATGTCTTCCTCAATGTCGAAACATTGTAGTGTGCATTTCTGTCTTAGTTACCCATGACGTCTATTCAGTGAGGCAATCTGGAAGGATTGATTCAATGCATTGGTATTGGAAATGCTGTATGTAAAACGCACCTACTTACTTTTCATCTTGAAATGTTTGAGAGGGAGATTAAGTTTGTTGTTTAAAGTAAATCAATACTCTCTGTAGCAAAGCTCCCGCATTTCCAACACCTACTAAGTTATGGCTCACATAGTGATACTACCTTAATACAGTTCTGTGGGGACTAGCTGACTTTACCTAAGTAAGAAAGAGGACTAACAACATGGGGGAAAACAGAGCTCTTCCCTAGAGATGAGTGAAGTTATTTACATAGCAGTAAGTAGCTAGTGCTCCATTCAGAAACACATTTCCCTGTGCTCAGTCTTTCTAGTCTGAATTGGCCATGCTATGTTACCTGTGATTAACCACTTGTGCACCTCTGCCTCCACATACACAGAAAGATGGTGGTAATTTTGTTATTTAAAAAAAATTCACGTCATTTACACTGACAGTTCCTAAAAGTTCAGTTGCTATCAGCTGGTATTTAAAAAAAAAAAAAAATCAAGTAAAAATTGATCTATTTGTATTTTGGTTTTGTATTTTGTTACCTGAGGTAGGAAGTGTTTTGCAAAAGCAATACTCTCCAAAGCAGCAGGTAAACATGATTATTATACCGTAACATTCCTTGTATTGCTTCAAGCCAGCTCAAGCTAAAGAGGCAGAAACCATTTGAAAGAAGGAAATCAATAGGAAAGATGACAAAGAACAAAGGTGGTAAAAGCAAAGATATGCTATGGCCTTGCTCTTCCTTCTAGGAGATGCACATCTAAAGCAACAGCAAAGGGAGTGGTTGTAGATGAGTGCAGGTATTTTGGTACAGAAGAGCTAGCAGCTCTGTCACTGAATTGCCCTTTGGTGTATCTGAAATGAAGTGGTTGTCTAGCTGGAAAAGGCACAGAGCAAAATAATTATCCTAAAGTGTTCTTTGTTTGGCTTAATGCCCAGAGAAATATGAATCTACAAGTTCCCTCAGATTAGTTTTTAAGAAATGTTTTGTCTCAGTTTCATTTCTGTGTGAGTTTTGGGCCTACATTTGTCAGGGCAAGAAAGAGATTGTAGGGGCGTGTCAGCCTCTGGCCTTATTTTTATACTGACTCATAGCTATATTTTATCACACTTAACACAATGTGATCTAAGGAACACTTGTAGTAAGTGTGAAGGCGGGAGAGTAGAATTAGGCATGATATGAATGTATGTGTTGGGAGACTGCAGTTGAATTACTTAGCAAGTCTCTTTTGCCAGAGACTCCTGAGTAAGTTTTTGTTTAAGAAACTAGAGCTATTTAAAAATGTGACATGATTCTGAAAAAAGCAGAAGTCACTTCCAGAGATGGCACTATGAAATCTTGTGGTTTTGCTTCCTTTTTCTGTAAATTCTACTTTTGTCACAGCTGAGATTATGATTAGTTTTCTTATGGCAAGCAATATGTACAAGTTTTAAATTATCCACGGTAAACAGCAGCTGATAGAAGTATTCCCAGTTCACTTCTCTTCCATCTCGTGTTTTGACAGCTTCTGCCAGTTCTGGGACAACAGCACGTTTCTTCTCTATTCTTCAGTACACAAAAGAGAAAAGAATATTGCCATCAAAAGTTTTTTCATAATAATCAAGTCTCCCATCTTCCTTTTAGAGCCAGACAATTTGAATTCTTTCACCATAACTAGGTTGTTTTTTTTTTTCCTCTAGGAAATTAGTTTAGCAAATCCTGTGTGCTTCACAAGTGCACAATGCCTGAAAATGGGTCTGAGAGTTTTTGCCAGAGAAGTCTTCACAAAGGGTAACATGCTGAGGAGGGGTATGTTTCCATACAAAGAAAATCTGAACAGAAGAAAGCAGCTAATGAGAGATGGCATTATAATCTGTCTTCAGGATTTTATGTCATCAGAAACAGCTGCAGCATCCAAGCATCTTTTATCACAATGCACTATTCATAGCAGAGCAAACCCCACAGTGTGGGAGGGTGAAGACTCAATGGCTATACCTTTCCTGCCTAAGATGAAGGGCATGCTACGAGTACGTTTGGATTAATACTTTGTACATACATGTGATCGAGATTCCAGGTACTGAAGAGGATTCTGCTTTCCCTGTTACTGTAGGGGTTGATAGAATGCTTACATGGGCAGTCATCTCTGTCAAAAGGTCCCTGTAAAACAAGATGGCTACAATGAAAGGCATAGTGCTCGTCACCCCAGTGCCGTCCTTCCACTTGCTATAACTAACCAAAGATCAATCACGCGTGCTATGGCAACATCACCCCACCAAACTTGCTACTGCACTATGCAAGCATCCAAGGAACTGTTTCCTTCCTCTAATGTCGTTGCAAGCCATGCCGCTTCTTGGTAGAACCAAGAGTCTCTGCTTTAGAAAGGGCTGAACGTACCTGACAAGAGAACCATCCCTCCGTAGTACACAGGCGGACTGCCTCCTCCTCTCTTCTGTCAAAGTAGCATCCGTTGTATTTCACAGATTTCAGTTTATCTGACATCAGATCAATTATCTTTTTATATGCATCTCTTGCTGTAGGATGAACATTTGAAATAAAACTACTAACCTAGAGGGAGGCGGGAGGGAAAAACCCAATTATTCCTTGGTGCCTATAGTAGCCTGAGGCTCTCTTCTACAATCAGTATGTTGCACTGTAAAAGCATTTTATATATATATGTGGTCACAGAATTAGTTTTACTAGCAGCTTGAAAATAAGTTACTTCAGAAACTTTTACCTCTTTCATATAGCTTCGTATTCTGTTTTCACAACTGTATCGCATGTAGCTTGATTTGTTCTTAAAACGAGACTCTAGACCTAAAGGGAGTTAGATTGTGTTGTAAATTACTACTTTTAGTGCTGTGCTTCTGCCTAGCTGGGTATTTATCCCCTTTTTTCAAGAAACAGCATGCACAGATTTTTTTTTTTCTTTCCCATTTTTATTTTACTGGTTCAAGACTACCCTGCTCTCAGCAATTAAAAGGACCATGCAGAGCACCTGCTGTGAGAGCAGTACCTGGTATTATAGTTGTTAAATGTTTCTCATTAATGTGCATACACAGAACACTAAGAGATTGTGAAAAGAAAACTGAATTGTTCAGGAAGAACTGCAGCAATGACTTGAGAATGGGAGGGGGAACTTTGAAAGAAAGTATAAAGAAAACAAAGAAAGGTTAGCTGGCTGATACGTGTGAATTATCAATGTACTATTAGCAAGTTTAAGGCTGTAAATGCAGACCTGTGTAATGGGGAAAAAAAATGTATTGCAGAGCGATCTTGGATATCGCAATAGGGAACACTGTTTTTTTTACCATTTTCTGATAACAAATGTGCTCATATTTTAAAGAAACTTAAAAACGCATGCTAAAGTAAGTGATAACTAATCCCCTGACCAGATACCAAATCACACCAGCCAGAAGGACTCTCAAATTTTTAAGCTGCTTTTCTTTAAGAACATTCAAATTGCCAGAAGTGATTCTTTTGAGCAGAGTGAGACCTGATGCCCCAGGGCAGCTCCCTGCGGGGGACAGACGTACCTTCAAACCATTTCTTGTCGTCTTCCTTGTCCTCAGCCAGGATGTTTTCATTCAGGTTGTGGATGAGATCTACCAGCAGCTTCTGCCTCCTGGGGGCCTGCTCGTCGGAGAGCAGCTTCCGTGCAGCCTCCACGACGGCATCTCTCTGGGTGTAGAAGGCAGCCAGGAACCGCTCGATATCGCTGGCACCTGTGGCTTGCGCGGGCGAAGCAGCGCCGGCTGAGGGGTCGCGT